CCACCTCCACTGCTGTTTGAGGTAAATTATGGACTTTTTCTTTATGGTACAATATGTTTAACTCATTTAGTTTTATACAGGACTTCGAAAATTAAATTTTGTGGTGTGTTCTATTAATTAAAATTTGGTGGAATTTGATGGCTTCAAAAAAATAAAAATAAAAATTTATGCAGCCATTGATGGAACTAGTTAATTCAGAAAATGATATCTTTGTAAAAGATGAGGATTGGCGCATTGAATTTGATGAAAAGAAACATAAAATATCGAGTAAGAACTCAAATCAAAGACAAGTAATACAAATCTGTATAAAACCATTTTTTATTTTGTTTTATTTATATTATGTAGATCACAATTTGATGAATAAAGCTAAACACAATTTATCATTGGTATTTGAATTGTAATACTTTGTAATGTAATTATCAAATGTGTAGAACCGTTATTTAGAGTATGGAGTGATATTGAAGATAGTTATTTTGATGCCTTGCCACGGGCATATCTTCAAATTCGGCATATCCGTGCTACACAATATAGTGCAATGATGAAGGTTTGTTTGTTTGTATGTATGTGTGTTGTATATATACATAGATAGTTAGATAGATAGATTTTTTTTCTTAAAATGTAATATTTTGTTTCATAATTGTAGAAAACTAAATAAAACATGAATTTTATTTTTTTAATTTGAGAAAATTTTGTTACTTTTGGTATATGAGTTTCTAATGAAAACTTATGTTTTTTATTTTGTAAATGTTGAAATTGATGTTTATAGTTAAAAGCTGAGTTCCTTGAACTGTTGAAGCGTAAAAATCAATGTCAGGAGATCTTCAATAAATATCAAGTATTACATTTCAACTCTTTGAATGAATTATTTCTCCTTATTTTAAATCAATACCTTAAATGCATTCATTGTTTTATCAAAGGGGTTTTATCTTTTGATTTCATGATTTTTAAAAATAAATAATTATTATGTGATACTAAATGATCTTGCATATTGAATAGTTTTAGGTTATTTGTAACATCATTATTTCTAATACATCATGTGTTTTATGATCACAAGCAATCATTTAAATTTAAAGTAGAAACAATGTAGGCATTAAAGGTTGCTATTAGAAATAGTTTTATTCAAAGTTTGTCAATCTGAAGATCAATTTAAACATTTTCTTCTTAATTTAATAATTAATATAATTTTCAATCTACATGACAAACTCTTTGTGCAATAGTCTATATTTAAATTTGAATTAGAGTCCCTTTGATATTGAATGAAGTGACTTGGATGGCAATGAACCCTCTTTTAATGATCTTTTTTTATTTTTATTTTTATTTTTTCCCTCTCTCTCTTCACCTAATACACCAGTGGCATTAATTCATAAGAGAACCCACTAAACATTATACAAGCAATGTGAGAACCAAACTCTACAAAAAGATTCCATGAAGTAACAAATGTGTACAAAGATAGAAAGAAAGACAAAAAGGAATGAATTGATACAATGAGCAAGAGTGGGTCATTTCACAGACCAAATACAACCTCCAAGACTTTGCATTCTTCAAAAACAAAGCCAACCAAGTGCCATTGCAAAATCAAGCAGCAAGTGTGGCGGAGGAACTGAGGACCCACTGCATGCAACGCAACCAGGTACCCTCACACATTCTCACACATTCATTCATTTTCTTTTTCATATATATACATATATACTCATGCATACACATATGCTGTTGTTAATGTCACCATAGTTTTTGTTAGCGCCATCACAAATTGCCATCCACCACACACTATCATAGTTTATGTTAATGCCACCACAAGTTGAATTAAACTTGTGTGTTGTACACCACAATACATTATATAGGACATTGTTAATATACGGCACAATGGATAAAGCACATATTCTTTATAGATCTGCAAGTTTAGAATAACTGGTGACATTAACCAAAGTTATGTCAACTGGTGAATGATAAGCAAATAACAAAAACTGTGGTGGCATTAGGAACACCCTATATATATTTATATGTATTTGAGTGTACACAAACACAAGCAAGCGATGATCCGAGAGAGAGAGTGGTTCGTGCAGGAAGTGAAGGCACATCTAGATCGATCTCTGAGCGAGTTCAAAGCGTCATGGAGATCCGCGATGGCCAACTGCTTCCTGCAATTCGTTCAAGCCGAGGTGCGGCGCAAAAAGCCCCACGCTCTACACACCCACACACCCACTTCGCAAATCTGCACCGGGTCTATCTGTATGTCTCTCTTTGTGTGTGTGAGTGTCCGCGTGGGTGCTGATGTTTAGCACATTGTGGCGATGGGTTGCGATTGTGTGCAGCTGGATCGGCACATTGGATCCTGCAGCCTGGTGCATGAGTACCTCACAAAGGCGGAGCACGAGGAGGAGGAGGGTCCGAAGCCTGCATTCGCACTGCAGTTCCTGTGCAGCTTGGCAAGCATCATGGAGCCACCGCTGGTTTCATTTCCGATTCCGTTTTGGATGACCACCCTGGAACACCCCTACCCAGAGCTTTACAAGGTTCTCGGACCGCGTTGAGTGTGTGCCAAATTTGAACATTGTAAAGACAGTGTTGTGAGTGGACCTTTCGGGTACTGTTTTCGGGTCTTTCAATACCAGGGGATGTATCACGTCCTCTGCTATGTAACAAGCTTCATCTTCACGTCCAATTGCAGGGGTTGTGCCAAGCGTTCCTTGTGGCGAACCGCATGCTGGACGCAATAGTTGGACGAGAATCCCTCGGGCCGTCTATCATCGGCGCTTCATCGCCGCCTGTTCCCAGAGCGTCGCAGAAACGGCCATCGTTCCGAAATCCCACCAAAGGATCTGCCAAGGGGTCCGTCAAAGGATCTACCAAAAGCTCCACCAAAGGCTCCGTCAAGGGCTCCTCTCGGGGCTCCGCCAAGGATACTGCGAAAAACTCAACCTCGGTATTGAGTTCATAAGCTGAAAAAGTCGAAGCTGAAATGTCGATTTCATGTGCACTGTTATTTTTCCTTGCAGCATGCTTGTTCTCGAAAGAGTGAGCATTGTTGAGTGATGGAATGTTACGTGGATGGATCCAACAGGTGTAACTGAAATGAAGGTCTGATTTGTGCTTAGTGAATCATGTACAGGGAGAATCTGTGCCGAGGATAGTAGACACACCTGCCGACGACCTTGGATTTGCCACTCCTGCAGTTTCCATGCTGTGGCCGATAGCGAGGATGGAAGTGCCCATGGAGCCTGGAGTGGATCCCGCTATTGCTCGCGACCACCAGATCCTGTATTATCGTCTCGAACTCATTGGTGCGCTTGTGTTGTTCAAGTATCAGACTGTTTTGCAGATTTATTCAACTCTCTCTCTCTCTCTCTCTCTCTCTCTCCATATATATATATATATATATATCTGAATTTTTGTATTGATGTTTCTGTGTGCGATCTGCTACAATGTACCAGTCATCGTTTAACTGAAACATTTCTGTGGATGGGGTGTGACGGGACAAAAATAATTTAGCTAGAAATTGCTGCATTTACTTCGAAGAGGTGTACCCGATGCTAGCCACCACATACGAACACCTGGCTGCTTCGATAGTCGAAGTCAGCAATGTAATATAGTATTCGGAGTCTAAGCCTTGAGATTTGATTGCAGTATTAGTTTGTTGGCTCATCAGTTTCACTTCGAAGACATTGTTTCTCCAGTGCGGCAGTGCCAGAGAAGAGTCCGCTGATTGCATAAGGTTGTGATTTGTGTTGGGTGCAGAGAGAGTCAAAAGTGATGGAAGACAGTATTGTTTACATTAAGGACTCAGCAATCGAGAGGATTCCTCTGTGGTTCCAATGCTTCTTTGCTGAGGATAGTTTTATTATCGCAGTGCCCACACTCGTCAAGGTGTGTTGAGTAATCAAGTTTGCAACTCCAGTCCCAGAAGAAGCGACCGAGCTGGGCTTTGGTGTTTAATCTATTGTGATTTTCAATTAACTGCATTCGATAGAAGGATCAAATCTTGATATTATTCTTAAGAGCCTTCTGTCAAGTTTCATATACCTGATTTGTGCCAAACGTGTAGGAACCTGGACCACTAAAGCCGATAACCATGGTTCAATGGCATGTCAGGCTGCTTTTGGCATTGGGCAAAAAATTTAAACCTGCGAGTAAGCAACAGATGAATCAGAACTGCAAATCTCCTCCAACACAAAAACTTACACAACCTGCACTAGAACTGAGATTGTTAAAAAGACGTGGTTTGCGAGAGAGTGTGTTCAGGATCAACCTCACCGCAACCACAATTGATTGATTCTCCTCACTTGCAGAGTCCTACGTGGCGCTGGACGATGCGAAGATGTGGGTGATGGAGATCATCGAAGAGATTCACGAGATTTTCAAGGAAGACCCCGCACAGGGGCAACAGCCTCGCCTTCCTTGCAACCAGAATACTCCTTTTGGTCCATTCCAGCGCTGGGTTGAGAAGCTGGAAGAGGTTGTAGAGGTAAAATCTCTTTCAGGTAATGGTTCCTTCGGAGACCAGCAATAATGCAAAATATACAGTAATTTCTGTGATGATAATCGCTGATGTGTTTGTCCTCTCAATTCAGTCAACGATGGAGGACGTAGACCCGCCAGAACAGAACTTCAAGCTCGTCATCGATTGGAGATTATTCCTTGTGGCGTTAGCTGACGCACATTTCGATTACTTCCTATCCAAATCCTCTATCGACGACATTGTGCAAGCTCGCACTGGTGATTGATTTAAACCGTCCCACTTCATGTTCCCTTCAATCTTCTTTCCGAGCGGCATAAACTGTTGGCTGGTTGGGACTTTTACCATGCAAGGCTATTCTACTGGTCTCTGATGAATCAGTGGCGCTTTCTAGATTTCTTCGTGGTCGTGGCGACTAAGAGTTTGACCGATCCTACGAATGAGTTCTTCACTTTGGAAGACTTCCTGGCGACTTGGATGTGGTTCGATCCCGGTAAGCATAGTTTCCTCACGGCAGCACAAATTCCTCGCTGCTTAACGCTTCGTTACCACCATAAATGGGTAAGAAATAAAACGACAGACCTGCATTGCCATCTCAACTTTTACAGATGTGGACGACGAAGAAGAAGCAACGGTGGGCAGTAGCGGAAAACCCATGTTTGTAGAAAGTAAAGAAAGAAAAGAAGCTCCACTCAAACCGTCACCATCGGTGGCGTCACCACTAGTGGAGTCAGAATGGGATTTCGCAGCAGAGATGAAGAAGTTTATTTATGGACTTCTCAACAAAGGAAAAGTTGGCATCCCATGGCATAGCCTGCTGCTATGCTGCTGTCGTGATCTAGACAAGGAGTTGAGTATCAGGAAGGCTTTTAACGTTCTTGGCGCACCAATGTACAATCTCTCTCTCGACTCTCTCTCTCCACTGCACTCACATTTAGCTGCAAACAATCGGGATGAGTTTGTTTCATTAAAGGTATGAGGGATTTGTGATGTAACTTGTGTAGGGGCCCAATGAATGTAACGTTGTCGGCGGAGGAGATGTTGTGCTTGTGCTTTCCGAACGGCGTTCAAGGAGCAGAGGAGTCTGCTGTAAAGCCTTGGGACATTTCTTCCTTGAAGGTCAATCTCAGCCACAACTCTGCGATCATTAGAAGCGACAATGTTAAGGACATGACTGCGGAAGACTAGAAATCCCAGTTCACAAAAAACTCATTGATATGAAGATTGTTATTTGTAGACTGAAGAGTTCTGGTCCGCGAAGTGGATTGCTGAGTTTTAAGATTGTTGTGTGTAGATGATGTTGAAACAAGTGGACATGGAGAGCATATCTGTGCCTAGGAGCCCCGGTGATTCATACGGAAGCGAATCATATCTGGATGACTTCTCAAGGAAACCGGTATTATCTCCTGTCCATAGAAATACATGACCGAGGTCTCACATATCAGTTTAGATACTGTCGTCTGCTGGAAAGGTAAAGTAATAAAAGCCACCGGAGCTGGAAAAAAACATCCAGTTGTTTACACAAATCCTTTATAATAGAGAGTGGAGTAGTTCGATGCACACTGTACACAATGACAGTCAGTATCCGCTTGATGTTCAATCATAATAAAGTTCAGAACCAAGTTCGTTGAAGGTTTGCCAATCGACAGAGTGTTAAACACTTTCAACACTTCACGCTTCTATAGATATTGACACGCTGGATGTTTGGGTGTGAAAGTGTGAGCAGCGGACAGGAATGGAATGTGTGGAACCCCAAAAGCCGCCTATTCTATTATTCTGTGAAATCGAAGATGTCATGGCTGAATTTCTCAACCAGGTTGCTGCACCCTCACCGAGCTGCACTCCACTGAGTTGCATATCGTCTGAGGCCAACCACACCATCGAAGTCTTTGTGGATGCGTTAGCGGAGGAACAAGTTGAACCACTGATGTGGTTCACAATTGATGACGTGCTGCAAAAAGATGCGACGGCAAAGCTCCGAGTAGCTTTGTTCAAAATTTATGGCCGTTCGTGTGCATATCCAGTTCCATTGAACGTAGGAGTAAAGCCACCACCACCAGTAAGAGCATCACATAAAAAGTAATTATTGTAAGACTGGCACCATCATGATGGAAGTGCAACTCCCCAAAACTTGTACAAGTATATTGGTCGAGAAAAGTCAAGTACTGCATTTTTGATTTCAGCATTCACTTTGCTGTCTGTTTTTCCTGGCCCCATGTAATATTAACTTCAACAAACTCATCGTGTTGCAAGTTGCAGCACAGTAGTTGTTGATTTGAGGAAAGACTATGTTTATGCCAAAGCAATAGTTAGTCCAAATACATGTCTTGTCGATACCCAGTTCAAATACTCCACATAATAGTCTAGTTTACTGATATCTGCCAAAGATTTGATGACGTCGGGGAAAGCCCTAAAGTTGCCGGATACAATTCTAATGAGCTTAGTTGCCACTTTGCAAAAAGACCAATCTAATATTGCTTCGAGGAACTTTAGTGTGTAAAACTTACAGTGGGAGGTAAATAAAGTAGTTTACTGAACAGGACTTTTTGGATTCTTTCAATTGCCCCTTGTTTGCATTCATGTGTACTATTCACATTCCAAGAGGCCACAAGGTTGGTCTCTTTCGTCCACTAAAACTTTACTTCGTAGATCCAAGTACATTGTCAGCCTCCTACTAATACCATGACTTTCATAGAAAATAACAATGGGGGGCCTTGCTTGTCTTTGTGAATAACTTTTCAAACAATCTTGACTGAATTCACCAGCTACCAAAATGAGAATATATATATATATATATACATATATATATATATGTATGTATGTATGTATGTATATATGTATACATTAATATATATTTTTTGAATAAAATAAATATACAGTGTTTACAAATTTAATATTTCAAACAATCTCGAGTTAAATCTTTGTTCATATATTTCATTTTATGACGGTTTTAAATTTGTTAAAGATTCCATTTTGATTCTTAAATGTTTCTATTTTAATTATAAATAGAAACATTTAAGAATCAAAATGGAATCTTTAACAAATTATATTTTTATATCAGTATCTTTTGTGAAATTAATTTTAATGTTAAACTATTTGCACATATTTTCTTTTTTAATCATATAAAATCAAATAATCATAATTTAAGATATAAATAAAATTTAACATAATAATAATAATCAGAATAATATTTTGAAAAAAAAACATAAAAAATATTATTGTTTAGCTAATGATCTAACAACAAAAAATTAATTTCAATTAAGTTCTTGATGTAAATTAAAGAATTCTTGTATTTAAAATATTCTTGTATTTAAAATCCCTATATGAACTATGGTTTTTAAAAAATTCAATAATAAAAAATTATTTATTTATTATATTTTAAAAATATTATAAAATTATTTAATCCATTAATTGATTCATTATCCTTTGATAATTTTGCTTAAGCCTCTCTCTATATATAAAAGTTTAATTGTATTTGAAAAAAATATTCATTAATAATTTAGAAAATGTTTTTTGAGAAAATATAATTAAAATTGGTTTATAAAATTTTATATTGAATTTTAAAATATAATCTAATAATAAATTGTATTAAATTAGAAAAAAATCTTTGAAGAAAAATTTTAAAAAATTAATACTTCAATATACAAAAAACTTACATATTATAATATTATATATATGAAGTAGTATGTAATTCATATTCAAATAAATTTAAAGTTAATTTTTTTAATTGATAATTTCTAAAAGTAAACCACATATTAAGATTATAAATGCTACTAAATATTTTAATAAGTATATTTAAGAAACTATTAAAAATTTGATGCTTATACCGAATCATAAATGTAAATATTATTTCATGTTGATCATTATTTTTAATACAATATCTTGTATCTTAAGCTCTTTAACAACAACTTCAAAATTGTAACATTTCACCTTTGTCTTTAATAATAGACATACATTAAGAAGTTTATTGAGATGTATTTAACACTTTTAGTATGTCATACTTTTAATATATTTTAAACTCTTTTTAATTTCTATTTGATTTAAATAATATTTCCAAGCAAATCAAAAGATACTTGTATATTTTTATGACTATTATGATTTAAAGAGATATCAAAGAAAAGAAAAATCCAAACAAAAACTTATTACAAAAACTAGAAAACTATATCCATGAGAGGTAAAAAAAAATTGGTTTAAATAGTGTAAATTGTTTTAAATATACATTCTAATCTACATCAAGAATCTTTGTATTTTGTTATTTTATCTTTTACATAAATAATATAAAATTAAGATATTAATTTAATATGATAAAATCATAAAACTATTAATTAAATCAATAAAGAGTATAAAATATTTTGATAGTTTTATTGATTTTTAGATAGCTAAAATACAAGGCAAACAATTCCACTAGAATATTTTATTTGTAAATGTACAAAGGAATATATAATAGGTAAAAATAGTTAGTAGTTTGGAATAATAAGAAAAAAAAAATCCTAAATTTGAAGCCAAATTTAATAGTAATGTTTTAAAAAAGCTCAAACATTGACTCCAGACCTAATCCAATTGATTTTTAGAACTTAAGCTATTTAAAAAAATAAAAATCAAGTCATTTTTTTAAATTTATTATTTTTAAATAATATTTTGAAATATAAGAATATTAATATATAATTTTTCAAGTTTAAGTATACAGTCAAATTTACAATTAGTCTTAATCATATTCAACCATAAATTTAAGTTTTTAGACTAGAAATATGATAAAAATTTAAAATAAATAAATGTATATGTGCCAAAAAGACTATATGCACCAAAAAGATTGTATGTATACAAAAGTTGCTTTGAGGTCTAGAATTCAAGTTAAAGAATTTTTCTCTCTTGTAAGCAAAATTATATAAAATTTGTTCTATGGATTATTTTAAAGTTTGCTTATGAATCTACTTATCAAATCTTGGTTTTGAAAAAAACTTTAGGAAGCCAACCCTTTATGTATATATTTTATTTCATAAAACTAGGCAATGTCTAAAAGAAAGTTTGTCCTTCTTTTAAATTAACTGATTTAAAAATACTATGTATCATATAGTCAACTATTGCATACTATGTTGATAGATATTGTGCTGATTTCTTTTGTGTATTGTAAGAAAGCAATAATGGATCTTATAAATGACAAGGTGCATGCACTTATGGCAGATGTAATGACTAGGGATATGGTCATAGATATTAAACAATGATTGTAGATAATAATCAAAGTGGTGTTAAGATGAGGAAGTCAAGGTAGCTTATTTGAGCATATCTTTAGTTTATGTGTACTTGATCAAAAATCATATCAATATTTATAAGTATATAAGTACAAAATAAAGTATATCAGCTTGCTAGAATAGAATTCTATTTTAATCTTATATTCAAATTACTTTGTCAATTAATCAATTGCAATCCAAAATAAATTCAAATAAAATTACAACTGATCACTCCAAACCCAAAATGAATTCAAATGAAGTTGCAATACTTTTACTATTAATTCAAGTCAATCAACAATGAACCAAACTCAACAGATAATAAATTCAAATTAATTAGTGATGAACTTAACACAATTGGTGATGAATCCAACTTAGTTTACTATGCATTGGTGGAAGGTTGTGAAGCATGAACACTACAAGAATATAAACACACCAATCTAATGCTTGCAAGAATCCAATATTGTAAATCAAAATTTCATGCAAAGAACGATTGTTCCTACTTTCCATAGCATACAAATTATACACCAAAAGCCAATGCTTAATTCCTCTTATATAACTACATGGACTTATGACATTATTTACTTTACTAATTTAGAAGAACCTTCTTCTTAGCAAGTTTTTATGCAATGTTACTCCGTAGACCTTTGCAATAGATAACGCTTCATTCTTGGTGAATTAGCATAGACATCCTTACTTGGACACAATACTAAATTCCATCTTTAAATGCATTAGTTTTGCTAATATTAAATTATCTCACCTATTATAATATAGTTTTAAAATCTATAGCATCAATCCTTTCTGTAATCCTAATTGCATCTTCAAATTTTTATAGATCCTTTAATTCAACCTCTCCTTGGATTATAGGTTTTGATCCTTGTATAAATTAATCGACCATTTTTGTTTTTAAAACATTGTCAATTTAGAAACATAGAAATTTGAATTAGGAGACATAATCTTGTATTAACTTGAATTGTATAAGATTAATCAATTGATTGCATGCTATATTTTTTTGTATTGATGGACCAAAATTGACTCCTAAATTCAATTTCAAACTCTTCTTAGTCACAAAATCTACCTTGAGCTTTATAGCTTTGAGCTCGATGTCACCACCAAATGGTTGTTATATCTATCAAATAGCTTGCTATATATATAATTCCTTTGTTGGTATTTGCCCTAGATAGTTGGAGGTCTTGTTGCATGTTGAAGAGCCATTCATATACATCTTCTTGCATTGAAGTTGTAGAATATGAATTGGACTTATTCAATTTTAGTCTAATAGATGTTGACTCTCTTGTCCTAGACGCTTCTATTTATCCTTACAAAATAGCTAATTGACCTAGGAGATATTGTATCTAAGTCTATATCTAGGATTACTTTGCCATATCTTCCATGCTGTAATTTCTTTATTGAATTCTGCTACTATAATGCCTTCTCTCTTTCTAGCTGACTTCTTAAAAGTAGCTTTTAGTAGCCTCAAAAAAATACCTAATGTAACTACAATAGTTGACCTCCAATTAGATAGTGGCTATCAAGATACTACTAATGAATAGACTAATACTTGCTCTTATATCAATGAAATAGGACTGAACTATCTTTAAGATCTAAGATCTTTTTAATCTATAGCAATATAAATCTTATTACAATATAGTACAGTATTGTCAAGAAGGTGAGTCTCCTTAGAAGAATATGGAGTCTTTGATTACAAGTAGGTTATAAAAAGATATAATATTATTCCAAATGATATCAAATATAAGAGAAGTTCAAATGCTAGGTACTTTTTATAGATTAATTTTTATCTTATACTAAGATATACCTAATCTTTAATTCTAATATCAAATTCAAATTCCTTTTTATTAAAATATCTATAATTTATTTATTACTAACTTAATCTAAATAAAGTTTAGCTTATTGAAAATAATAATAATAATAAAATAAATCTAATAAATAGCATAAAAAAATCCAAATCAATCTTAAAATTTGTTGCTCAAAAATTCTAATAAAAAAAAAATCCTACTTGATTTCAAAATCCTTGCCTTAACCTTCTCTCAATACTTACCTTGAATTACTATATATTTGGATATTTATCCTAAAAGATAATATTTTCAAGTTCAAATAATCCATTTAAGTGAACAACCTCTTATTTTGAATTTCATTTAAATTTATAAATATATTAGCATTATGTTCGTCTCTTCCTATAATTAAAATTAATTACATTTTAAATAACTTTGATGTACTTAAATTAAGTATATTATTACATTGACCCCTTCCAAACGTGTATATATTCTAATATGTACCAAAGAATTAGACCACAATAACACCATCATTAAAATTAAAGTCATTGTGAGTTGTATCACTTTTCAACCATTGATCAAAATATTGAGGCACAAAAGCCTCTAAATCCTCTATATAATTCATCTCATCTTGCAACTTGAAGATTTTAATTTATTTTTTTGTAATTCTAATCTTTAATAGTATTCCAAATAACTCTCGAAGATAATAAGTTGCATTATTATGCACTTCAACTACCACATAGGATCCAAACCAATACAATAAAAACTTATAAAGAGTAGAATGTTGATGCATCAAACTACTATCATAAACCAAAATCCAATCACCTACTTTAATTGGCTTAGGTCTCAATTCATGAGTTTTATTAAATCTCTCTTTGTTGTTCAACCTTGCTACCTTAAGCTTCTCTATAGCAACTTGATGATCCTCAAACAATCTTTTTAGTTGGTGAATTTGAAGTTCTAACAATATCTTTCTATCAATTTTATCTTTCTATCAATTTTATCTTCCTAAGATAAAAACAACCAATAATAAATAGATTCTATTGTAGGTATTAAGGGCTTTTGTCCCAACATCAATTTCATTAACATATAGCTAGTAAGTGTGCTATGAATAGTCCTATTTATCCATAAAGTAAATAGCAAAAGATTGGACTACAATCTTGCTTGATCTCTACATGTCTTGATCAAAGCTTGAATGATTTAAAGGTGCTTCTTTTTATTCTTATCATTGGCTTTGGAGTTATATAAGGTAGTCAATTTCAATTGCACCTCATATCTTATGAAGAAATCATATGTCTCTGCCACATTAAGTTTATCATAATTTTCTCTTATTTTTCCAATGCTCTCATAGTGATATATAATATCTTCGAAAATAAACCAACACACCACCTTCGTAGACTTTGACCTCAATGTCTTTCCTTTTACATGATTGAAGAATTCTTCTCTTGCCAAAACTAAATACTTCATGCCTCAAAACTCTATTCGCATAGCAACCAAATCAATCATCCATTGAAAATGAATGGCAAGTGGATAGGTAGAGCATAAACCATCTCTATACCTCATTTGTATAAAATTTATTTTTTAACCAAATTATAAGATGGCTTTAATTAAAAGTTACTTGTAATTGGTGGTGTGAAGTAGAAGTAGCAAGAACAAGAATAAAAGAAGAAAAATACAAAAACAAATAAAACAAGTACAATCAAGCAATTTTACACCATAAAACTAATCATAGTCTGTTTATTGAGATTTTATTTAGTAAAAAGTAAAATATAAAAGTAAAAAATATTTTTAGAAAGTTAATTTTTTAATATTTCTAATGATACAAGAAATATATAAATCTAAGTTATTATGAGTAAGATATGAAGGTTTAAAAATAATAAGTAAATAAAAAAAGTTAAATAAATAATTTTTACCTCAAAGATAACTTGCTTAAGAGATCAAGAGTTTGAGCTTCACTAAGGCTCACAAGTAGTTTATATAGATGTCTAAGAGAGGCCACAAGGTCTTAGTCTTATCCTTCTAACTACCTTTAAGATGCTACAATTTATATGGGACTTGTGCACTTTCTTTCTTATATCATGCTCAAGTCACTTAAGCTAAATTGTGGATACCAATGCTTGTTTTGATATTGTAGCATTGTTCAAATTCATATAAAATTTTAGATGTAATTTTATTTATAATATTGGATTGATGCAATATGCAGCTTGATTCAATGTTAATTCGAAAGCTTCATTTAATTTATGAGTATTTATAGCATCAACATCATCTAGATGCTTTTATTTAGTAGTTGCTTGTATAACCAATTATAGAGTAAGACTTACTAATAATAATATTCTTGTAAACTTAGGACCTCTATGTAGAAGATTGAAGAAGAAGATTGCATACTCAAAGCAATTGATGACATAAAGCTAGTTGATTGAATAAATATAAGATGTTCACTTCCAAAGAAAAGAAGACTTTATTGGAACATTACATAATGAAGAAAGATTAGGTACATACTTGTTTTTATTCTTTTTCTTGGTTGTGAATAAAAATACAAAAAATAATCATCATTCAGTTGTCTTAAGACAACTATGTATTGCAGTCTTTGGAAGGTACCATTGTTTTATTAAAAATACTATATTATATGTAATATTTAATTCTTTTTACTTTACTGGATTTGAGAAAGCATTGAATTGCCTTTATATCTTCTTTGGATGCAAGAAAATAATCACATTATTTGCTACTATGGTCTAAAGTAGCAAAGATTATATAACTTAGTGAATTTCAAGTTAATAAGTTACCTATTGGTTTGTTGTGTGATTCACCTATCTAAGATTTCTATTAGAAAATTACAATGTGCTTGTAATACACAAAATCTTGTTATTATTTTTATTGTAGTTTAAAAAGCCCGTTTTTAGTACTACAATTTTTTTCTCCTTTTGGAATTTACAGGTTCCAATGTTGCATTGTGCAAACTCAGCAATGTTGTTGTAACTCAAAGTGAGGATTCAAATTTTGGATATTATATTCTTAGGTGTGTCTAAATTGCATTCAACCTTGTTGAGCACTATTGCCATTACCAACAATGTTGTGGCAAATGGTGCACAAGACATTGGTAAAAACATTTTTGGTAAAGCATCCAAGGACGTGTGCCCATGATTAATCTAATTGCTTTGCCAATGATGTTTATTATGACAAGTTACACCTTTACAATCTATTTTCTTAATTTTGTATTTATATAGGTATTGTTATAATTAGATAATGACATATTTTTTTTGTCATTCTAATGATGGATGAGTCAAATTAACAACTGATGGGTTTAATGTAACATCTCCTTGAATATATTGTCTCTCTGTGATTGCAAAGCTAATATGTATAAGTAATAGATTATAAGAGGATGGGTCATCTTAGATACTAAAGCAATTCCTACAAAAATAAAGAAAAAATAAAACCAAATATAATCAAACAACAATCTCTACCATAAAATTAGAACAAAATAACATGTTTGTGTCTTTTTCACTGTATATTGAACAAAATATCAGTTTGATAGATTTTAAATTACCAACTCACTGTAATGATTTTTTAAAATTTCAAGTCAATTTTTGTCATGATTTTTTTTCAAAATTTAAAAATAAATAAGTAAATAAATAAAATACATCTATGAGGAAATGAAGGAAATTTACGGTTGTACACAGACCTCAATAACTGCCCATAATTCTTGCCTTTAAAATGCTCCAACTCTTGTCTTCCTGTTGAGCACAGTGCCAACCATTCCTTCATAATCGATCATGACAACTCTTCATTTATTTTGAGCCACTTATGACAAAATTCATGCTCTCTGTTACAAAATATTCCATAACTATCCAAAATGTAAAAAAGTCTAAAGAAATAAAAACAATCTTTGTTGATTCATCAGTGACTAATTTAAAATTGCACATTATATAATTATGTACCCCTAGATTAACAAAAGTTGTATCAGAAATGGGTGGAACACAAATGTTTTTTACACTTGAATTTGAATTCAATAAAAGTAACAAGAGAAATCATAGCTAATTATGCTTACTTAAATATACACGTACATACATACATACATACATACATACATATATGTGTAGTTATGGTATCGTGGTTTGTTTGTTAGTGGTTATACCATTGTATTGAATACAAAGAATGACAAAAATAAATAAATAAATAATATCAATGCAGAACTTGAATACAGTAGTCGCCGTGCCTATGAAACTTGGACACGTTGACATTATAGCGCTATTATGAGGACACCATCTTGTGTAACCCCTCATTTGGCCCCTCGTTTCAACACCTCAGTTTGATTCTCAAACCAGTACTCCATTTCAAATGACCGAATCAGCTCCAGGTCCCAAGGATCGGACACAAGTGCCAGCCTGAGCCACCACAGTTGCTGGCGGTGTGAACACGTATTCCCATCCCTACAGAGGTTGCAGTCAACACCCATTTCAACCCATTCCTGGCCCCTCCTCCTGTCCACCCAGAGTCATAATATTATTTCTCCTTACGCCCCCATGATAGAAAAATCAACACACAAACATCACAGTTTTGTAGACATAAGAATGTGCACACAAAATATGTGTTCACAGTTTTGGGGTTACTAGAAATATTTTCCTCCAGACGAGAACAGTGGAGATGAGACACGGAGGATGAATGAGGGCATTCGTTCTATGAAAGGTGGGGGGGGGTGTGAGTGGGTGGGGAAGCGAGAGGTACCGCTGTCAGTCCTGTTGGGGAGTGTGTATAATGAGCCGCCATAACGGCGAGACCAGGTGCCCACTGTCGTCTCTTCCCGTGCTTTGCCGCTACGCACGCGCGTCGCTCCAGATCCTGGCTGCTGCTGCAGCTGCTGCAAGGGAGAGAGAGGCTCTCGAGTGGGGTAGAAAGTACGAGATCAGAGCCAGGACTTCAAGGCTTCATTTGGACTAAATGTTATTGCCTTCCTGGTTAACTCATCATCCTCACCACTGCCGTCTGCTGCTTGGGTCACATACCGCCCATCGTTCCCATCTCTCCTGTTTCTCATGCCCCCCCCTCCTCCCCCCCCTTATGGAACTCCAGCTCCCGTGACGACGAGGTGGGCTCGTTCGCAGCTCTGCAGTCAAGGGGTTGGCGTGTTGGTACGCTGCAGTCTAGGTGGGTGCTTTTGACTTCGTAGCCTAGGTGGTTGTGACTTCGGGTCCGGGGTTGGCGAGAGTCTTGGTTGAAGGAGAACTCTGCGGCGTCATCCCTGACGAGGTTGTTGGAATGTTTTTTATTTTTATTTTTGTCTTTGATCTGCTTTCTCCTCTGTATGTTTGGTTGTTGATGACGAAATTCTCGTTTCCTGTCCAAGTCATCGGCCCCTGCCCCCCCTGGCTGCTACAGCGGCGGCGGTGGGATCAGAGTGTGTGTTTCTTCAGGCTGGTTCTTTTTAATAGTTTTCGTTAGGTCCGGCGCCTCTTGGGGAGTGCCAATGCAGCTTGCTGCGGCTCCTTCCTCTAGGTTGCTTGTGCCTATGATTATATTGTTTTGATACAAGGATCTTTGAGAACCAAGAGTGAACCGGTTGCTCGGAGTACACGTCGTAACCAAGTTTTTCTGGGACAACACTTAAGACTTTTGAGGAGCATAATTCTGACGCATTAGTTTTGAAACCTGTTGTCACTCTGAACGAAGGAAATGAATTGCGTAGGGACCTGGTGCCCTTCTAGTCAGATTGCAACACTCAGTGCAGGATATGGAGCTGGAAGTGGTTGTCCACGTGTGTGTGACAAGCTCTCGCCATCTCTGTCGGTCATAGAGTATAGTTATCGTGGTGGATTAAGTACGTCGCAACAACCTGGGTCAGGAGATGATTTCGGTGCCAAAGAAAGCATTGTATGTACTGTTGGGCTTCTTTAGTAGAATGGCAGGCACGCACCCAACTGTCAACATCGCTTGACTAGCATCTGGTGCTTGGAGAAGTATTTATACACGAAGGGAGGTACATTCTCTGATGCTGAGAGAATAATGTAAACATACATAAAAGGACTCAGCCGAACAGGGTTGACTGATGTCGATTGGATATACAGGTGACGGTTGAAAGTGACTAGTTGGCGTCTCCAGGTGCCACAAAAGCTGCTGCTTTATGAATCTCATGGCCCCTCATAATGGAAGGCAGGAACCTCACAGTTCTGAGGTGCACAAATTGTACGGGACCGTGCCCCCGATGAGCCCCTTGAGCGAAACCTTGTGGAGGGACAGAACCAACATTCCTGTGGGGGACACTTCTGTGAGGTTGACATGGGTGGACATATGGGTTACCACCGTCAGACATGGATCCAAGCAGGCCATTCTACAAGGGTTGACAGGTATATTCTCTCACACGGTTTCACCTCGCTTCGGCTTAGCAACTGCTGAGGTTCGACCGTCTCAATGCTCCTCGAGGTGATTTGTGTGTGACAGCAGTTTGGTATACAGTTCGGAATGAAATCCATTCTAAGTTAGAGTCTCAAGCTGCTCATCATCTGTACATCCAAGGTCCTTCTAGTCGCACCAATTTTCTAGAAAGATGACATGTAAACATACCTATTAATGCTGAAGTGTTCTTGTGTTCAGGGTATGCCGAACCAGGGTCCATAATGGCCATCATGGGTCCATCAGGATCTGGGAAATCCACAGTGCTGGACACATTGGCAGGTGACACAGTAGTTTTAAGAAACTCTGCGGTCATACTCGAAATCTTGAGGCTGACGTCGTTATGCTCACTGTAGGTGTGCGTCGATATTAACATGGAATTTTGTGATGCAATAGGAAGACTGGCGAAGAACACCACGCAAACAGGTGACATTCTCCTAAATGGTCATCGGAAATCAACGTTGTCTTATGGAACCGCGGTAAGTTCGTGCCTTCGACCAACTGCTGATTGATTCATGACAGTTTCTAACATGCAAAACAAGACAAATTCCGTAACATTTTCGCCTTCGGATTGTTTCTCATGACTAGGCGTACGTTACACAAACTGACGAACTCATAGGAACGCTCACAGTCCGGGAGACGATGTACTACTCTGCCGACTTGCGCCTACCGAGCAACATGTCACATGCTGATAAGAAAGCCTTAGTGGACAGCACCATTCAGGAGATGGGACTTTTTGACTGCCGGCACACGCCCGTAGGGAATTGGCATCTGCGGGGGTTAAGTGGGGGCGAAAAGCGCCGCTTGAGCATCGCTCTGGAAATTCTTACTCGCCCACGTCTGCTCTTTCTCGATGAGCCTACCAGTGGACTGGACAGCGCTGCTGCGTTTTTTGTGGTAACCACGTTGAGGAACCTGGCGCGAGATGGGCGCACGGTAATTGCGTCGATTCATCAACCTAGCAGTGAAGTCTTTGAGCTCTTTGATAACCTGACTCTTCTCTCTGGCGGCAAGCTCATCTTCTTCGGGGAAGCGAAAGCTGCAAATGAGGTGCGCATCATATAGCCTTGGTTGTCTATTTTGTAAAAAGCATGTCAATATTTGTCATTTACTTTGAAGTGTGAGTGAATGCATGCGCTCTGAAGGATCGTTTGATTTGGAGACACATGTAGCACTTCACGACAGCTGGATTTCCTTGCCCGTCTCTGCGGAACCCCTCGGATCACTTCCTACGTGCCATCAACTCCGATTTTGATCAAGTCAAGTCCAATTTTAATTGCTCCTCCAATTTCCGGGTGAGCTTGCAAGATGTGTGAAGATGTGATTGCGTTGGAGTTCTTAGAGTGAGAATCACTGTATATCAGAGGGAATCAGGTCTGTTCGGAAATCAATTTCAATACTTTTGAAACAAGAATAGTTCCTTCAGAAGTTTGCTCGATAGGTCTCATACTTTAGAATGCCTGTAAAATTTCAGGATTTGGAAAGAGTGGATATGTTAGACAAGATGAGCACCAACCAGGTGGTGAGAATATTAAGCGACTCCTACCAGAACAGCGAGTACGCTGCGGCTGCCATGTCGCGCATCAATGAAATTCTTCAAATGGTTAGTTTCCTGGTTTCTTACAAGTACTTACTTCCAACCGCGCATACAAGCATTGAATTTGTGCGTGTTGTTTCGTATGTTTCGACCTGCTGCTGAAATTAAGTAGAGAATCCTATTTTTGTTTCCCTATTTTCATACTAGATAGCTGGCTGTGCACGTAATGACCAGCAAGGGACGGTTCTGGAGGGGAGCGGAAGCGAAGCCAGTTTCTTAAAGCAGTGCTCAACTCTAACCCGCCGCTCATTCGTAAATATGAGTCGCGACATTGGCTACTATTGGCTTCGCCTTGTAATATATATCACCCTCTCACTCTGCCTGGGCTCCATCTTCTTACACCTGGACTTTTCCTACAGCTCCATAATGGTACTTTTCCCCTCCTCCTGGCTGTTCATCCTGCAAGTAGTTTCTGTGAGTGAGCTGCATCAAATGTTAACACAGTGATTATCTCTCTTGCAACCAGCTCAAGGTTTGATGAATCGGCAGGGAAGAGCGGGATGCATTGGGTACGTTGGCGGGTTTCTGACCTTCATGTCCATCGGAGGCTTTCCGTCTTTTGTGGAGGATATGAAGGTTTTCCATCGAGAGAGACTAAACGGCCATTATGGGGTGTTTGCGTTTGTGATCGGCAACTCCTTGTCATCGAGTCCATTTTTGTTCATGATTGCTTTGATTTCTAGCGTCATCGTTTACTACATGGCAGGTCTGCACCTCGGGTTCGATCACTTCGTCTACTTCGTCCTCTCGCTCTTCGTCCAGGTGACCATTGTGGAGAGCCTCATGATGTCAGTGGCGAGCATAGTACCCAACTTCTTGATGGGCATTATAACCGGTGCTGGAATCCAGGGCATATTCATGCTGGTCGCGGGCTTCTTCAGGCTTATAGACGATCTACCGAAGCCCGTGTGGCGCTACCCGCTCTCGTACATCGGTTTCGACATGTACGCCCTTCAGGTACAGTCTTCAAAACTCATCAAAACCTGCACCAATCTGCGTTGAATCTACACCGAAACTCACGCCACTCACTGCTATAAGAAATTTAACCATCCAATGTCGGTGTTCTTCCTGCAGGGAATGTACAAGAACGAATTCACTGGGTATACATTCGATAATTTCGTGCTGGATGGGAAGTCGATTGGCCCCCCGATTCCAGGCTGGTACGTGATCCGAGAGCTGTATGGGATGAAGACGACCCGGGGGAAGTGGGACGATCTCTACATCCTGTTCGGCATGATCTTTGTATACCGCCTCATCTTCTTCATCTGCATCAAGCTACATGAGCATCTGGGGCCCTACCTCCGCTTGAAGCTGACGCAGTACCGCACCAACCGGAAGCTCTCCAACAAGGACTCCGACCTCCAGCATGGGATCCGTCTCATGATGTCCCCAATGACCACTGCGCAACGCCACACCGTGCCACTCCAGTGCTCCTCCAAGCGATAACTGCTCCCGATTCCCTCTTCGATCACCCTCCGTGTCTGTCTACACAGTCGCTCAAGCCGCAACTCAAACTCGTCGCAAATTGCTTACGATGCCCGCTGGAGAATTACCGACTCCTTCACCATCTATGATTTCAAAAATCCATTGCAACGATCCGCATCCGCTTAACAAAATTAGCAGAATAATGACTGATCCTTACTGAAAAATTAGCATCAGCCCTTGCGTAGTTGTGAATCACTATCAGGAGCTTAACGGCATTTCACCAGAAGATAAGCAGAGGCTGCTTAGAAGCGGTGAACGAATCATAAGGTTGGTATTGATATTTGTCCCATTCTATTGGGTATATGTTATGTTCAATTGATAATAGTGTTTTTTTTTTTAAATGTTTCTGATTAACTTGTGTGTGTATATATATATATATAGATAGGAAAATGATAAAGCAATCCAAATTTTTACGAAAGTGAACCACATATTTATTATTATACTTAATATTTTAATTATTTTTAATAATAAAAAGCCAATATAATAAAATATATATCCATTGGATGAAAAATTTTAAATATTATTAAAAAATAATAATTACAAAAATTTTAACAAAAAATATACCATACTTTGATTCATATTAAATTTTGACAATTTCCATATAATGTTTAGTAAAATAAAAATATTTTTTCTTAAAATTACTTTATTTTTTTAATTAGCTTTCCGTGGCTATTTTTAAAATTAATACTTCAAAAAACAATATTCACAGATTAATATATTATGTCATTAATAATAATTTTTATTTGTAGGTAATATTTTATTTACAACAAGATAGAAATTAATTTGGAAAAATATGATTAAATCTGTTTAGTTATTGCTTAATGCTTAGAATTAGTTTATTTGGTGGTGTTTAAGCTTTTTTTTTTTAAAAAAAATCTATTATACCTAAAAAGTTAGATATATTATACATTCACAATTTATATTTTTTTAAGTTATTAAAATTATTTTTAACAAATCTAATAATATTATCATGAGTTGATATAAATGGTATATATTTTTCTATTGTATGATTTAATAGACTTATTGAAAATATAAATTGATTATTTAATAACAATAATTTCCTATTTTTTTCTTTAATATATAAAATTTCTAAAAATAATATGTAATTTATTATGTCTATGTCTATCAAAATCAAATATAACCAAGTTAGCAAGAAATTCAAGTTGCCATATTATTATATTATAGTATCAAAATTTATATATATATATATATATATATATATAATTCTTCCAAAATAAAATAAATAGAAAAAGATTATTTTTTAAAATATTCAAGTAGTACTAAAAGAAAAAAAAGAAAAAAAGAAAAATATAATAAGAAGAAATCACTAACTTCTTTTATAGGTTAGTTGAAGATTTGATGTTTGATCATAAAAAAATTTCACTAGTTTTTTAAAATACATCTTATTATGCATACAACAAAATTTAAAAATAAAGTGATTTTTAAAATCAACATCCTTAGAGTTTGAATTAAACCAAAAATATATTAATTTTAGAGTATAGTCTTCTCTTTAATTTAAAAGTTATGTAGGTTTGGTCTTTAACTTGCAAAAGAAGCATGGTAATATAACTTATATGATACAAAAGAAGCATAGTAATATAACTTATATGATACAAAAGAAGCATGGTAATATAACTTATATGATACAAAGAAGCATAGTAATATAACTTATATGATACAAAAGAAGCATGGTAATATAACTTATATGTAACAATATTCTTTATGTGTACTTAGTAAGCAAGAATTCATGTTATTTAGATTTTAGAAATGTATTGAGGCCAAAAGGATAATTAGATCACATTTTTTTCACTTAAACTTATCTTGAGCCTAAGATGTTAAAGACTATAAAATCTTTTTATAAAAAAAAACTATTCTTATTGGCAATATTTTATTTGAATTTTAGATTTTTGGTATCATATAAACTTTGATTTAGATAGCTAAAAGTAATAAGCTTGTATACAAATAAATAGACCAAATAACTTATTTAATATGAAAATTGTTTCTTTTTTTTAATTATGAACATATTATTATTTGATCTATATAATATATTTGATCTTGTACTTAGATATGTAGTATATAAGTAAGTAAGTAATTTTTCCTAGTTTTAAATTTGCCCTATTATGAGAATGTTAAGCCTTAAGTATCTAAGTTCTTTCTAAGTTAATAACTTATAAAAATATGAGATTTTTTTGGTGCAAAAAATTAAATATCAAGAAATTGACAATTTAATGAAAGAGCTCTAATACGAATACTTTTAGAGAATACAACTTGCTCGAGAGATAGAAAGAATATTAATTGAGGACATGAAATCCTATCCTCTACCAAATCCTATCCTCTAAAATCATTTTCATAATAACAATATGATAAACTATTTATATAGTAATAGAAGAGAAGATTATTTTTAATTATAGATAAAGTGAAAATTAATCAAAACAAGTTTATGTTGCTATTGAAGATAATCATCCCACTCTATGGAAATTTTATTAAAGAATATCTAATAATCTTCGATTCATTTTTCAACCATTATTTTTCTTAACTTTCCTAAATACATTTTCTCCATTAAAACCTCTCCTCTTTTGACGTCCACGGTTACCAACCACTGAGATCAATACATGGATCATAAAGAAGAAGCTTGGGAGCACAATAAATCCACTCGAATCGTGCAAGCCATCTGAAGTAAGGGAAAAGTGGTAACTAAACGGCGAAAAGATACAGAATAGCAAAAGGCCGACTTTATGGAACGAAACCCACAACAATAACAGTAATGGTTGTTCTGTTAAGAAGAATGGGCTCCTACAGCTCCTCGTTTGGTCGTGAAGCCACAGTAACAAACAAACAAACAAACGATCTCGCCGCTCATCGGTGTCCCCACCCTCCGCGTGTGGAAGAGTGGAAGCGAGACCTTCGAATGAACAATGACAAGCCCCCGCTTGCACGAGGGATTTGCCAGCCCAGTTCAGTCGGAAAAAAGGAGGCTCTGGAATCTGACTGATGGACGCCAAAGGTCGACCAAGATTCAGACCCTGCATTTGCAAGTGGCCTCTTGTTTTTTTATCACAAGTGGCCTTATTTATATGACGTTCAACTGCTCGAGGATCTAAATAAAGAACCCTATCATCTCACCCCCGGATTTTCTGTGACTTGTGCATGTTGTTTCTCTTTTTTTAGATGTGACTCGACGACCGAGTCATCTTCATTTTGTTGAGAATGAACAAGATTCGTTGATTCGCGACCTCACGGCTGGTCGTCACTCGATTGCTACCGCTGACCCATTACCTTGCACCAGAAATTGATGAGTTTGTTGTTGAGTTGATTGTGAGTTAATGGTCCTACTACTCACAGGAAGTTAATTCCCCAGCCACTACTCGTTTTCCTTATACTGGTTCCGTGATGCCGATTCAGCATGTTTGATTGAGCGTGACTACCAGTGTTGCCGATTGTTCCTACCACTACAACGCTCTGCTGAGTCTATTCAGTTGCGAGATCGTTTAACACGTGTGCAAGCTCATGCACTTCACGTGGAGGGGCCGCAAGTAGAGTTCACACGACATTGCTTGACTTGGAGGGGCTGGTCCACAGTCTAGCATCCTCCTTTCCACACGCCTGTGTGGCAAAATCGAGCTTTGGACGATTCATACAGACTCGACGTCTTTCTTTCCGATCTTAGACGCTCACCCTTGCAGAGCTGTGCCGTGCGTGGTATTTGCTGCTTCGACGCTCTCGATGGCTTGGTTTGGGCCTCAGTTTCTGCTAAATCGGAGAAGACTTGAGGACTCGAGACCTAATTTGCGTACACTTTGGGGTAGTAGTCGAGAAATACACCCAGGGCGTGGACGTGTTCGCTGTGTTCTATCCAGCCTGTAAAAGCCATGCCAACCAAGACGAGAAGGCCCGAAACGAGACATTCCACCCTCACTTAAGAAAAAAACGAAAAAATAACTGGGAGGGGGGGGACCTAAAAGCTGTTTCTCGGGGGGTTTGCATGATTGCACAATGGCACAAAGAACAATACCTTTTTATGACTATCGCCACAACACATTCTGCGACTTTGGCCAACTATCCTGTTGTTCAATTTCGAAGCAAACTCGCCATCCGCTTAAAATACACACATCGAGAACTTTCATTAAAAAAAAATGATACTCACTGTTTCCACAGAAAGTTTCATATCCATATGCTGCAAGCTGTAGACTATGAAGTCTAACTCACGGAATCTGCCCAATTCTTCGCCGCTTTTCCACAAAGTTACTTCAAGCAAGCTGAATCTCCTTAACTGCTCCAGAATCTGCTCTGAAAGATGGTGCAGGAAAGATGGTGGCTTCAAAGCGTGAACTCCTCGACGACGACGACTTTGGCTCAAGCCATGTTGCGAATCAACGCCCAATTGTGAGCACCGGAGAAAATCAGTATCGCATGTTCCCGGATTCCCTGGTCTTCAGAAACAACATATCAGAGGTAGTTTTGAGAACCTTCTTGTCTCCACAGTTGTAGAATCAAGCAGTAAATCTACCTACCTGACTAAGTGGCTTAATTTGATTTTATTTAGAATGAAGAATCTATTGTTAAACAAATGGTTCTGCACTTTCTGCAATACTTCTATTAAAATTCTTTCTACACTTTTTGCATCAGATCTAGACTTGGGACAAATTACAAAAGATTAGTTGATGGAAATTGTAAAGCATAGTTTGATAGAAAAGAATGTAGTTTACTATCTTTAAGTCACAGAAGCCTATTTTATAAAGATTAGTCTAGTAATGAAGACTGGTAATATCCCATAGTATTTGGACTATGAAGTCTTTAAGTATTTTTTTAGTGTTTAATATGCTTTTTCAACCTTTACATCTAGTTTCAAAATGCATGTTATTTTAGCCAAAACATGAGTAGATAATGTAACTTGCCTTAGTAGTATTGTTATTGACCTACCTTTTGGAAAAGTTTTTTTGTGAAAAATTCTTTACATAAGGTGGAATTGTAATTACTTCATATTCATACATAATTTTTTAAACAATATATAGATTTTTTATGTAAAATTTAAATATGGTTGTTGCATCATTCAATTCTATTGAAAGTTAATATTGTGAGCAAAAAATAAATCATCTTATTAGAGTGTAACAAATAAATAGAAATGTGCCATATTGTTATTTTTATTTAATTATGACGCAAAATATTAGTTTACATGGCTGTAATTATTTCATTGCAATAGTATTATAAAAATTAAATTAAATTAAATCATATTCTAGATATAAAAATTGTAGAATTTTGGTCACGATGTATATTTAAAATATTAAAAATAGTAATATTAAAGCTATATTTTCAAAGGAGTCCATGCATTTATATCAATCTT